AGAAGAAGAAGAAGAAGAAGAAGAAGAAGAAGAAGAAGAAGAAGAAGAAGAAGAAGAAGAAGAAGAAGAAGAAGAAGAAGAAGAAATTCAGTTGCTTTCAACTATCACTATTTACTTATCAACTAAAAATGAACAATTCAGAGTTGGGTGGTGTAGGGAGACACTATTAATGCTCTGGAAACAAAACTAACAGATGGTGCCTCCAGTATAATATCTAGTTTGTTGTACGTGCAATTTATTTTTAAAATACACAAAATCTAATAAAATTAATATCTGAGACAAATTGGGCAAAACTGAGCACATTGTTATAAATCATAACTAATAAGACAGCAAATGGTATTATACAGCAACTTTTAAGAATCAGATCTTATCTGAGAAGAAGATAGAACTTTAATCTCAAAATGTACTTTCTGGAATACATTTTTTTTTTGGGTCCGGTCATGGGGCCTGGGCGCTGTCCCTCAGCTCTTCAGCTCAAGGCTAGCGCTCTACCACTTGAGCCACAGTGCCACTTCCGGCTTTTGTCTTTTTGCTTATGTGGTGCTGAGGAATCGAACCCAGGGCCTCATGCATGCAAGGCAAGCACTCTACCACTGAGCTACCTTCCCAGCCCCTGGAATACATTTTTATCAAAACTCAAACTACAGTAGTTGTTTATAAAGAAACAAATGACAAGCTCATTCATGCTCTTTCCTAAATGCATTTTTCTCACTGAAAAGGCTTGAGCTGTTATTTTGTTATAGTTGGTATAATTTCTCTTCTTTCTTTTCTTTCTTTCTTTCTTTCTTTCTTTCTTTCTTTCTTTCTTTCTTTCTTTCTTTCTTTTCTCTCTCTTTTTCTCCCTTCCTTCCCTCCCTCCCTCCCTCCCTCCCTCCCTTCCTTCTTTCCTTCCTTTCTCTTTTTCTTTCCTCCCTTCCTTCCTCTTCTCTAAACCCCTTCCCCTTCCATCTCTATTACTCCATCTCTCTCTCTCTCCCCCCATTCTTTCTCTTTCTTTTGTGCTATTACTGTCATTTAACCTCATTTCTGGGCCTTATACTCTTGTTTGCCTTTTCGTCCACAGCTAGCACTCTACTATTTGAACCATACTTCAGTTTTTTTGCTGGTTAATAAGAAATAAGAGTCTCTTGGATTTGTCTTCCCTGGCTTTGAACTGTGATCCTCAGATTTCAGCCTTCTGGGTAGCTAGGATTACAGGTGTGAGCCACCAGGGCCAGACTGATATATTTTCATCCCACCACCTGATAGATATTTTTGTTGCTACTATGCAAAGAGAATAACTACTTAATGAAGTTGAATCCTTTATACCTTTGATCTGTGAGGTTAAGTATCAGAAAGATGTTTGTCTGTTGGTCATTAGAGCTTGTTTTGAGAAATTCATTGTTAAGTATATATATATCAAATATATATGAAGGTAACAGTGTATATACATTACTAACTTGTATGTTCTTTCAAATTTGCTAATGTACTTTCAGAAAAACAGCCATAAGTAGTCACTCACTAAGCTTTGCTTGAGTGACAAATTACACTGAAAACAGTAGAGATTTGGTTTTGAAGAGGGAAAAGAAGGTATCTCAAAGCTTAACGCATTTTACATTTCTTTGTCCTGTTATATCAAACCACTCTAGTAAGAATTTATACCTAGTGAATCTGAATTAGATGGCTCTATTGAAAAAATTTTACAAAATGAAGTGCTCACTTTGAAACCAGAGCAGATACAGATACAGTAATGCTGAGAAAAAAATGTGACATTTGTGCTTTTTGGTTGCAGTTCTTCAACCTTTATATTATTTACTTAGTGTTGGTATTGCTCAAAAATTATAGCTATGAGTTAGAAACGTTACCAAATTAAACTTTACAGAATAACAATCAAATTAAAATAATTTCAGCTTGGTCACTATATCTAGGAACTCTCTCTTTCATCTACATTATCTATATTTGTGCCCTCTTCAAAATAAAAGGTTTAATGCTCTCTTTTCCTATGAGAATAAAGAGAAAAATCTTTATAATGATTTTTCACCAACTGAAGGAATAAAATATGGTAAACCAATCTTATATTTTTCAACTCAATGTAACTGACCATAACAAACTAAGAAACATGCCCATTTTTTTTTTGCTGTATTGATTTCCACTTTAGAAAAAGGTAATGCATCTCTTTTGTCGATAGGTTTTGCAGATCTCAGAAAAGAACCAGATCGGAATCAATAAAATCATACTGCCTTCCATCATGGATGGAGAAGCGCGAAGTCTGGTGGTACAGTATTTTTTAAGCTGGGCATAGATGGCTGTATTAAGGGAACTTTCTAGAAGGTGGTTTCCATTAATGATCACCATGATCACTGCCTACACATGCTCCTTTCTCTCTGGATACCCGCACAGGCTGCACATGACACTCAGCCTGGTACTAGGAAAGATGACAGTTGTGTGCCCCATCTCTACTTGAATGACTAACAGGAACTACTCTGCACTGTCCAGGCAAGGCATAGCAGCCTCTCTGAGCACTGGCTGACACCTGACACCACGCTGGCTGCTGGGACCCAATGGGCTTTATTTACCTTGCACTGGCACAGAGTGCACTCAGTGCCATGCTTGATCCACGAGGACCCCGTGAAGCGAACTACATTCATCTCGTCCAGGCAGGTTTTGGTGATGTCATTGCGGATGGTGTCGGCCTGGCAGGGGTCAGTGACACAATGTGGGCAGCACTCATTCTCCGGGAGTACACTGAATTCACACTCCACCTCCGGGCAAGGCAGAGGCCAGCAGTCCACTTCCCCTTGCTGTAAGAAGGGATGAGGCAGGGAGGAGGGCAGATGGGAGGAAAGGGAGAAGGCGGTGAGTGAGAGGAGGAGAGCAGAGGTTACTCCATACTGCATGCATGCCATTCATGGTTATGCCCCATGGTCAACGCCCAGGAATCCTGCAAAGGGTTTACACGAGCTTATCAGAACCATGAGTTCAGACTGGGAAGGTGGCTCAGTGGTAGAGTGCTAGCCTTGAGCTGAAGAGCTGAGGGACAGCGCCCAGGCCCAGAGTTCAGGCTCCAAGGCTGGACTCCAAAAAAAACCCAAAAAACAAAAACAGAACCATGAGTTCCTTATGGCAGCTAGATTTTTTGAAAACAGTTTCAAGAATTAAACCACCAAGAACACAAAATTTCCCTTAATAAATTTTGCCAGGCAGAGGTAGTTCAAGGCTGTAATCCTAGCTACTCAGGAGGCTGAGATCTAAGGATCACAGTTTGAAGCCAGCTTGGGCAAAAAAAAAAAAAATCCATGAGACTTGGAGCTCCAATTAGTCAGCAAAAAGCCGGAAATGGAGGTGTGGCTCAAGTGGTAGGATGTTAGTCTTCAGCAAAAATGCTCAGGGCTAGCACGGAGGCTCTGAGTTCAAGCCCCAGGACCAGTGTATCCACACAAAAAAAGAACAAAATAATAAATTTTACATGGGCTTATCTTTCCCACTATAAAGGAGAGTAATTCAGTGGCGATGAGGTCTCTAGTTCACATTGTCATCATGAAGTGCCTTTTTTATTCCCTTGTCTTTTTGCTCACTAACTTGGTCATGGGTTCTGTTCTTCAAGAGAAAGTTTTGCCCATTTTCAAGAAAATAGACTGAAGTAATGAAGGGAATTTGACGGTTGATCTTCGTTCATGTAGCTTTTTCTGTGCTGTGCTTTGAACGCTTTCCTCAAACTCCTGTCCAACACAAAGCTTACCAAACACCTTGGAATTGATTTCTGTCCTCCTTATTCCACATGGAAAAAAACATGTGAGGTAAATCTTTTCAAAAACATCATTCCCTAGCTGGGTGCTTGTGGTTCACATCTGTAAGACTAGCTACCTGGGAGGCTGAGATCTGAGGATTGTGGTGTGAAGCCAACCTGGGCAAGAAAGTCTGTGAGACCCTCATCTCCAATTAACCATCAAAAAGGTGGAAGTGGAGCTGTGGCTAAAATGGTATTATGCCAGCCTTGAGAGAAAAAAAGCTTAGGGACAGTGAGAAAGCTAAAGGATGGCATTCAGGCCAGCATAAAACAAGAACAATTGTTTTTGTTCATTTATTTATTTAGGGACAGCGGAGGCTGGACTCCTACTTGAAATCTTCCTGCCCCAAGTTCTAGGATTACAGGTGAGGAACATCTGCTTTGAATATTCAGTTTGAATATTTATTTATTACTTATCTATAGTATGCAGAAATGAAGTGTACACAAGAATAGTACTGAAAGTAGTATCAGTATTTAGAAGAAGAAAAGGTATTCTTAGGAAGGGAGTTGCTACTGGGGTTTGAATTCAGGGCTTTGTGCAGGTTAAGTAGGAGCTCTACTGCTTGAACCATACCTCAAGCCCTTTTCTACTGTAGTTATTTTTGAGATAGGGTCTCACTTTTTGCGTAGACTGGCCTAAACCATGATCTTCCTGGCTTAGCTTCTTCCCCTAGCTGGAATGACAGAAGTGTACCACCATGCTCTGTTTTCCTGTTGAGATGGGATATCACAATCTTTTAGCCTGGGCTGGCTTGGGACCTATGAACCTCTGCATCTCAGTCTACCACCCAGGTTGGAGATATGAAGTGAGGAGTTCATGAACTTTTTGCCCAGGCTGGCTTTGAACTGCAATCCTCCCAATCTTGGCTTCCTGAACAATGAAGATTATATGCACAAGGGACTCATACTTGGCTCATTGCTTGTTTTACTTTTTAAGTCTGAGGAATAAGCAGAGATAGGCTAGCAAAATATCTATCTGGAAAGAAGAATGCCTATTTTCGTGAATGTCATTGTTCTCTGGTAGCCATCTGTAAGTAAGTAAACTAGGCAGGAGGGGGAAGTGTGCAATCTGTCTTACTTTGGGGCCACAGAAGCATTCCTGAAGGAGCTGTCACTCTCAGAGCGTGAATACACATAGTTACACACCACATCTGTCCCAGAGGCTTCTTTCTCAGATCCAGCATTTGGTCAGCCTCCTCAGGCCTGGTTTTCTTTGGTATGTACCAATCCCACCAGCCTGGTACTGGGTGTTGGCAGTGGGGTGGGCAGGCTGCCTCCCGCTGAGATCCCGGTCTGCATCCCCTGCCCAGCTCCAGGCAGCCACAGCCACTCACCAGGCAGCGGCACTGCTGGCAGCTCTGCAGCCAGGTGTCTCCGCTGTTGTACACGGTCTCCCCGTTCTGGTGGAGACACTGGCTGCTGAGCCTCGGGTCACACTCGGGGCAGCAGAAGAGATCCACCGTGGGGTTCTCACAGTCACACACCATCCGCCGGCACATAACAAATCCATTCTGCAGCAAGAAGGGAAAAGGCATGAGCCCACACCCCCAATTCCCAGGGCACTCACGTCATCTGAAGATGGAGGTGACTCGCGGCTGTTCAGCCAGCAGAACACATTTTTCTTTATGATTTGTAGTGAACACAAAGAAAATGCCCAAACTGGATGCCCTGGAGGCTTCCAATGTCTTTCCACTTACCACCTCTCGGGTGACTTGATCAGAAGGAAACCTTCCTGAAACCAATCAGTATGAGATGTTAACTACTGTAATTGTCTTTTACTATCTACTGGGTTTACATGTGGATTTGAAGGCACATTCTAAGTATTACAAATGAGGGAAGCCATGCAGCCTGGTTCTTTGGGTCTGACGTGATTAATTAAACAGCACTCCAAACATTCACAACAAGGAGGATATTCTTAGGAGTGGAATGCAAGGGCTCAATAGCTATGTGCATATGATCATATAAAATGATGCTTATTTAAATGAGCTCCAAGAAATGGAAACAAGAATATTTTTATTGTATGATTTGGGAGTCTTTTTTATTTTTTTCCTTTTTCTCCCCCTTTGGCTTATTCCTTTTGTCACTGTTTTTGATTTCTGTACCCTTAGTCTTATATATAAGTTTATCTGATTTGGGGAGGAGAAGGAGAAACACAGAAATAGTGGGACAAAGGGTGAGCCAATTCAGCAGTTGCACTCATTAGACACTATGTTGGAAATGAACCGTACAACTTTGGGGGAGGGGGAGGGAAGTCAGAAGGGTTTCTGAGAAAAAATGAGGGAGTGGGTGACACTGTTCAAAAGGAAACATATTCAATACCTGATTCATGTAACTGCAACCCCTCTGGGCATCACCTTTACAGTAAAGTTTTTTATAATGTAATGTTAAGTATGCATGGTCCTCATGTATATAGAGATGTGCATATGTGCAAATAAATGTACCTATACCTGTATGTTGGTATAATACTATTATTGTTATTAATGACGGCATAGAAATTTGAATACTAAGCTTATTTCCCTAGAGCCATCATGTTAGTATTTCGTAGCAAGTTAGTGTGTTTCAAATACTGCTAAGTTTCTGAGCGTTATATTTTTGTAAAGGACTTATCAATTTCTCTGATTATAGCCGATTTTCTGCTATGTAATATTATTCATTTAGCCACAACTTAAGTCTCTATTATGAACTGGGGACACATCACATGACACCACTCTAAAATTGAAATAGAGCCCAAATAGACATTTTTCTTGGATCATACATGACTTCATTTATACATTAATTAATATATTAATAGCACAGTTAATAAATCAAATGTTATCAACAAGTGAATCAATATACACTTTGCAGTGTAATAGAACAATGAAAGGTGTCCAGCAATAAAAAGGAAAAGGTATGTATAATGAAATTAATCAGACTCTAAAATCATAATGCGAAGTCAGACACAATGAGTATATACTACATAATTCTGTTCATGAGAGTCTGTAGAAATTATTAGTGTATAATCTACAGAGGCTAGAAGCCATGTTTGCCCGGGTCTCGGTTGCAGGGCTAACTAAAAAAGTATAGAGCTCAATAGCTGGGTTAGAAGCACTTCATCACATTAATTGTGATAGTGATTAAATGGAGGGATATATTTGTCAATATATGCAAATCACAACTTCATTAAATAGTTTTAATCAATTGCACAAATAGTGTAATTCTTTAGAGAGCCCAGTCAAAAACCTAACAAGACGGGGCGAGGAAGGTGGCTCAGTGGTATAGTGCCGGCCCTGCATACACGAGGTCATGGGTATGAGTCCTAAGCACCACATAACCAAAAAAAAAAAAACCCCAGAAGTTGTGCTGTGGCTCAAGTGGTAGAGCGCCAGCCTTGAGCTGAAGAGCTGAGGGACAGCTCCCAGACCCATGACCAACTAAATAAAAAAAAACACACACACACACAAACAAACCCTATAAGATAAGCACTAGGAAACAGCAAGAGGTGAGGGAGACCAGGTGGGAACAAGGGGAGAGGGGCAGACTACTGAAGGAGAGAAGGAGGGAGGTAGAATGCAGTCAAGAATTCATGGAATATACAACAAAATTAAGGAAAGTAAGGAAAGGGGTGGGTCAGAAGAGGGAGAGAATGTTGAAAGGGCTGACACTGATCAAGATGCATGGTATTCATAAACTGCTTGATTAAATAACAATGCCTTTGTACAGCTATTTAAAGATTACCCCCCCACACACACACCTAGCAGTAACCTTCTACTGAAACATTCCTGTACTGAATAAAGTTCTTTGCACTCACTGAAACCATCTTTTAATCGTAGCTCAAGAAAATGTGACTATATATCGTGTAATTTTAGTCATTCATCAGGAAGAATGGTATTACATTATTTGCATGGAAATGTCTGGGCCTGGAAAAAAAATGAAGTAAGACAAATCCAGAGACTAAAGGTCATGTTTTTATTTTCTCCTAGGTGGAGGTTAGATCTAATTTATAAGTCTCTACGTCAACTTAGACTGGGTCATATGCATATATATATATATATATATATATACACAAACATATTAACTCAAGTGTGCTATATGCAGACACATTCCAATGGTGTAACTCTTTGGAACAACTAACTAACTTATAGTCTAATAAAATGAATACCAGAGAGCTGGAATTGAGGAGTGCGAGGGGTTAAGGTCAAGGGGAGGAGGGTAGAGAACAAATAAAGACAGGAAGGGTAAGAGAAATACACCCGTGATATTCAACATACACGTACACCAATCACCATCACATGCACATATAGTCACGTGACAGGGAACTAGACACACTGAGGGGAGGGATGGGGGGGAAGGTTGAAAGGGGTGACACCGATCTAGATGCACTGTGCTCACAAACGGATGTGTGGCACTGAAACCCCTCTGCACCCCTCACTTAGAGGGGATGGAAGAAGGCTGTGTTGGTGCTGACCTGGCAGGAGCAGACGGAGCAGCGGTCATTCTCCAGCACCCAGATCTGCCCGTTGTGCTTGACTCTGCCGCCGTGGACGCAGTCCCCCGTGCAGTTCTTCCCGTGGGGGCAGCGGCAGTCGTAGCCCCCGTCCAGGTTGAAGCAGACGGTGTCGTTGGCACAGTTGTGTCTCCCGGCCCCGCATTCATCAATATCTGTGGGCGGGAGCAGCACAGCACTGCTGTTTCAGACCTCCAACAGACCACCTGCCCTGAACTGCACATGCATTTTTCACCTGCTGACACACTGTCCCCTGTCCCATGCGGATGAAAGCAATGTGAATGATCAAGGAGATTTCACAGGGGAAAGTATGATCACACCTCTCCACTTAAACAACAAACACCAAAGATCACGTCAGTGGAGAGTTGACCATTTTTCTCTCTCTGTAGATCCCAGGGCACTTTATGAAACATTCGTATTTTGGAAAGCAAGAAGATAACTCAATTTATCTAACAAAAACCGCTTGAAGCTGGGCACTGATGGCTCCCGCTTTAATCCTAGCTGCTCAGAGGGTTGAGATCTGAGGGTCATAGTTTGAAGTCAGCCCAAGTAGGAAAGAGATATTCTTATCTCCAATTAATCACCAAAAAGGCGGATATGGAGCTGTGGCTTAAGTGGTAGACTGCTAGCCTTGAATGGAAAAAAAGCTTCAGGGAGAGTGACCAGGTCTTGAGTTCAAATCCCAGGACTAGCACAAAAAAACAACAGAAACAAAAAACCCCAGAAAAGAAAACCCCAGAGCTCAGTAGTGAGAATTCTAAACAGTGCATGTGAGGTTCTCTGTATTAAACTGGTGCTTACTGAACATCTGTTCTTAGTGGGAGAGAAATGTCTTAGGATACCCTATGATTTATTATTCCATTTCCATCTCTATTCTCCAGTGATACCTCCCACACTCAAGAGCTTCCGAGTTCTGTCTGGTGGTTTTCCCTTACAGGTGAGGTGTTTTATTATACTGTCCATAGTCTCCTTTACTCACCTACAAAAAGCAGGTGGCCATCAGCAATTACCATTGCTCTCAAAAGTAATCCTCTCCTTCACTTCCCATTTCTGAGGATCATTTTCTTCCCTGCTTGACTCAATTGGCAGCCGCCCATTCTTCACCTGACTTCCTCCGTCCCACAGGAATCGCAGCCCAGAGCATTTTCATACAGATGAAAAGCAAACATGTCTTGACCCACAGAGCAGGTCCATAAGAGGAGATGCGATTCCTTTTATTTACCCCATAATTTGAAAGGTCACAAGCCAAAATACATTTCAGAGAGATTGTATGAGTGGCAGTAAGCAGTTATTTCCCATTTCATCAGATTTTTCTAAGTAAAGGTCAAGAAGGAAAGAATTAAATCACGGCAGGGGGACGTAGGTTAGAGAGAAGATGGAAAGGATGGTTTTTAATGAAGGGAACTGTATGCTGATTTTCCCACAAGATTTTAAAGACTGGCTACAGTAAATAACTCCTTTGCATAGCTTGATTCTAACATTAATGGGAGACTAGCATTGGTTAGACTATCACGTGGCCATAGAGTCTTAAATACTTACTGTTCCATAAGTTAATTTTGTCATAAATGTTTATAAGCCACATGACATATTAACCCTGATTTTTTAAAATTAGATCTCATCTTCAGATATCAATAAATTGGGACAATGACTGAAAGTTAAATGTATAGTGAGCTTCATTTGTCATGGATAATACTATTTATGATTATAAACTATGAACAAAGTAAGAATTGTCTACCAGCATGCGTGTGGACTTTTAAAAAATAAGTGCAACCGTGAATACACACATATACATATGTATGTATTTCAGGTCAGAGAAAATGTTCTCTCTGTAATGAAAATAAGATCTTATAAATCTGCTCTATATTTGGTCTACTCGGAATAACACAGCATACCATCAAATAAATTTGATGAGTTGATCTTTGTCTCCATTTAATATTCTTAGAATTAGGAATTACAGTATGCAGATAAAACATTAACTATAATAGTCTGACCTCTCTGACCACAAACTCTACAGACACCTCTTTAATACATAACCTTTTCAATATCCATCAAAAAGATGTTGTGCTGCTAATGGCAACAGCTGGATCTTTGAAACCATTTCATTTTGTCTGATGCTTAAGAATCAAAGGTCTATGACCAGATAATACATCTTATTTTTCCTTAAAGGCAGAAAGAGTCATTAGGAGTGTGAAGTGTCTGTGTTCTTAAATGAGATATGTTTATAATCAGGCAATATAAGAGAATGTCACAAATAACAAAGGTTGGCATGAGATTGTCACACCTGGAGAGACTACTAAATGAGTATAAAACATCACAATGGACTAATTATTCTAGTACCATTTGAATTAGTGTGAAACAATTTCCTTTTCTACTGGTTATCTACACTGGCTTTTCCAATGTGGAAAGTTTGTCCATCTGATGAGTAGCACTGAATTTTGGAACTCATAAAAATGATTAATCCCACAAAAGGATTACATTCTACTTTAAAAATGTATCATGACAATAAACATTCTAGCTTTATAAGCATAGATAAGTCCTTCAAAGAGTGACCCCTGTAGAAATACTGTTAAATCCATTTCAATTTTCAGGTTCTCATCTGATTTGGTTTAGCCACAACATTCAGCACAGCTCACTTCCTTTCTTGAAATATTTTTCACAGCTTCTTACCACAGTAATAGTTTCTTCTGGATCTTCTAACTGTTTTCTAGATATGGCAATTATACTGTAAATGAGAGGAGGTGTAACAGAGAGTTTTGACGTAAGATTGTGTTGAAGGCCTAAAGTTTACAGCTATGAAGATGTGTTGGAAGAACAGAAATGTAGTTGTGACAGGAATGTCTCGTGAGAGAGTGGACTGGGGAGCTACACAGCCCTAAGGGGCCCTGAGGCCCAAGAGAAGGTCCTGTTGAGCAGCCAATAATGCAATGCATATGCTATAAAATTAAGAAGAGGAGGAAGGGGTGGGTTGGGCGGAACAGGTGATAATGTTGGAAGGTGTGACATTGGTCAAGATGCATTGTATTCATAAACTCTTGTTGAATAGCAATGCCTTTATATTTACAAATAATAAACTATAAAACAGAAATTTGAACATTATAAAAGTAGTAAGGTATTACTCAGGAAGCTGAAATTTGAGGATTACAACTCAAAGCCAGCCCAAGCAGGAAAGTCCATAAGACTCTTACCCCCATTAACCACTTAAAATCTAGAGTTAGAGCTGTGGCTCAAACGGTAGAAGGCTATACTTGAGTGGAAAAGCTAAGGGGGCAGCTCCCAGGCCCTGAGATCAAGCCCCAGCACTGGTTCTGTGTGTGTGTGTGTGTGTGTGTGTGTGTAGATAGGTAGGTAGATTGATAGAGAGATAAGGAAAATGAAAAAAAATTACAATGAGACTTTCATTTTAGAAAAATTATCTTGGCTTCCTTTTGGAGAAGGTATTTGAGTCAATTAGAATTGGAAGCCAGGAGGATCAGTGAAACAGACTGTATCAAAAGTCCAGTTAAGAGATGTTCTTAACAATAAAAGAAGTCTCATGCAGTTGCTGGTTGAACCAAATTCTGAGAACTTTTCTTTGATTGAGCCTCAGAACAACCCTTCAATTCACAACACATTCCCATCTTTACAAAACAGGAAACTGAGGCTGAGCACAATCAGCAAGGTATAAGCCAGGCTCTCAGGACTGTGCTCTCCCTCCTTCCCTCCCTCCCTCCCTTCCTTTCTTCATTCCTGCCTTCTTTCCTTCCTTCCTGTCCTTCTTTTTGTTCCAGTACGCTAGCACTCTATCACTTGAGTGATAATTCCACTTCCAGCCTTTTTGGTGAGATAAGAACCTCTCAAACTTTCATGCCTGGGATGGTTTTGAACTGTGATCCTCAGATCTCAGCCTCCTGACTAACTAGGATTATAGGTGTGAGCCCCCAGTGCTTGGCAGGACTGTGGTTTTAAGCTCAGTGCTGTACCAATTGCAGCTCTAAGGAATGTACAGGTAGAGGTAATGGAGATAGAATTAACATGCCTAAGTGATATACTGACTCTGAACATTACAAAAAGGAGAGATCAAGAATGATACTTGAAAATTTATATAGAGAAGGAAGAGAGGAAAGTTGCTGGAGAGTAGAAGGGGTGGGCAGTGATAAAACTGCTGTGTTTGGTTTAGGGTGGGTTGAAATGCATTTTCCTCTGGTCTTTCACAAGAAGTCGTCCAGTAGACAGTTGGATGGATACACAAGTCTAGAACTCAGAAATTAGAACTGGGCCAAAATACAGATTTGGTGTGCAGATATACTTTCATTATTCTTTCACTAAAAAATATCCCTTCACACACAGATTCAAACTTCATGCAAGGCACTGCAAGTTACTTTCTCTGCCTGACCCACTTTTCTTATGTGAAATCTCCAATAATAGCATCATCCTTAATGAAGTCCTAAGACAAACACCAGGTACACTGGGAAGTCTTCTTCAGGCCAAAGGAGAAATCATTTATCTCTGCTTCCTCACTGATCATAATTTATACTTTTTTTCTTTAAATTTGAGTGAATTTTCCATTTCCACCTTGTCTTATGGCTTTGCCATGTGTTAAGGAATTCACAGTGTCTCACACCTGTAACAATCCTAGGGCCTCAGGAAACTGAGAGCTGAGGATCAGAGGATCATGGTTTGAAGCCAGCCTGAGCACGAAAGTCTATGAGACTTGTATCTCTAATTAACTACCAAAAAGCCCAAAGTGGAGTTGTGCCTCAAGGGTACAGTACCAGTTTTGAGTGAAAAAACTAAGGGTGCTAAGGCCTGTGAGTTCAAGCCCCAGTGTCAGCACAAATAAAAAGAAAAGAAATTAACTACTTTCTGTCTTAAATAACAACTATCGTACAGATTTTATTGGCTTCTACAGCTGAAAAAAGTAGTCTTCCTTCCTAATTATATGTAGCAGATACACACACAGCAGTAACTACTAGCTGACGTGAATTCAATTCATGTTTTAATTGATGTAGGAAAAGAATCTGCGACATATGTCTTGAACCACATATTTAAAAGAAAGTATAACCTGCTATTACAAGTTTAAAAAACTCCCCAACCTTAAAGATTACCCAGGAAGTAAAGAAAGAATGGAAAGCATAAACATGAATATAGAATCTTATTATGTGGGGAAAAAAGGCTGGGTCATGACCCAGTATTTCAAATTTCAAACCTAGTACAAACAATGGTATGGGCCCGGAAATGAATATTTTGATGCATTACCTGGGGATTAAGTGTCTTCCTGGGATAAATGGTTCAGCAAAATAGCATACGATTTGTCAGAATGCAATTTATAAGCATATATGTAGGAGACATTATTATAGCAGTGAAACAGTACTGTTATTTATTCATGTCTTTAGATTTGAATAAATCATATACTTTAGACTGATTATAAAACCACTGTGTGGTCTTGTCCACTTTGAAAGACCTTTTATTTTAAAAATGTAAGCAGCAGAAAAATGTCTGCTTCTCAGCTAAAATCATACTCCTAAAACTGAATCCTTGAAATACTAGTATCACAATTCTACAAATCGCTTCAATTGCAGAGAAGGGGTGGTTGTTTAGTCCTTTAGCATTTTATTTAAAATAACATAAGTGGGTTCTTTTTTTTTATAAGACTTCTTCAAAGTATGCTGTCTTCTCACAGTAGTAGATTTTTCTGATAACCTTTATAAATAAATTCTATTGGTAGATAATGGAGATTTCCCTCCTGGAATTGTGGCTTTTAAAAAATAAACATTTCAGAGTCGTTACCTCCCATTTCTACTCTTTCTCTCTCTTGCTCCCTCTCTCTCTTCTCTCTGTCTTTTCTTTAACGCTGTTATACTGAAACAAACTTGCTAACGCTTAAAAAAATTAAAAAATAAACATTTCTTTGTGGAATTCCATTGAAAAGCCTTTTTCTATGTAGGTAGGTGTCTTATAGACTCTTTTCCTTTTCTATCGTCTATGTATCACGTGTTATTTTAATGTTTAGTTGAGATGTTCTTGTCACTTTCTGGGCTGAATACTCATGAATATGCTAATTGTGTTCTTACCCTGAACTCTACCATGTATCTACTTCAAATATACTATGTGTTATGAATATGTATCTATCCCATATTTCATACTCCTAGCTAATTCAAACATTGGTTATATGCATAACAGAGTTTCAATTAAATGGTGATCAGTTTTCCTATCTATTTCTCTGTGTTTCTATCTTCCATTTCAATTGTTTATGCTAGAAAATTAAATGTGTCATCTATGTGCAAGGCACTGGGCTAGGATTTGGTGATATGGTAGCAGACTGGCAAATAGAATCTATGACCCCTGAGGCTCACATTCTAACATAGACCATAAGCAAGCAAACAAATAAATATATCCTATAATATCAGAAGCATTTATGATCTCTGTAAAGAAAAATGAGGCAGAGGAAGTAAACAGGATGTTGGACATAGGAACCATTTCAAATTTGGAGTGTAGGAGAAACAATTCAAGTGGACATCTGAGCTAAATGAAAGTAGAATCATGCAAAATCAGGAGAGATGGAATTCCAGGGAAAGGGCACAGCTCATGCAAAGTAATCAATATGATGAATGTAAGAAATGGCAAGAAAGCCAGGGATGCATATTGAGCTGGTTCTTATAAACCATGGTCTGGGGGCTGGGCTTTATTCTGAGAAATGGGCAAAATTCCAGGAGTTTGAATAGAGAAGTCACAGGTTATGGGGCAGTTTGAAAAGGTTTATTCTGAATATTACAGGAAAAAGCTTACAGGAAGGACAGGAGGGGAAGATGAACAAAATGGAGGCTGCTACATTTCTATCGGGCTGGGAAACCATGTGTCTGCCAAAGGCTGTCTGGATATTTGCAACATCACTTTCCCGCCATCTGAAATTATCAATACAGGGGTGTGTGTTCCATCATGCAACACACATATTTTGTGGGCTTTTAAAAGCCAACAAGCTGTACATTCCCTATCTGAAGACTTAGATCAGGGGTACCACCAGCGGTGGTAAGTGGCTCTGGGGATTGGGTTGGGAATATATGAGCTGACGTGGCGGATGTGAAGCCACCACAAGCTGAGAACTTCTACGAGATTCCGTCTCCTCAGAGAAAGCTGGACTTGGTGCCATGCACCTGCAATCCCAGTGAGAAGGGGAGGCTTATAGTAAGTGGATCAGGTGCAATGCTGGCAAGAAGAGCTAGAGCTGACGCTAAAAATAACCAGGGAAAAACAGGGCGGCGGCAAGCAAGCAAACTCAAGGCACTGGGTTCAAACTCTCTCTTTCTCTTTCTATCCCTCCTTTCCTCCCTCGCTCCCTTTCTCCCTAACTCCTCCCTACTTCTATTCCACCACCACTGCTTCTACTTCTCCTTCTTCTTCTTTTTTCTTTCCTTCCTACTAGTACTCTTCCTTTTCCTCTTCTTCCTCCCCCTTTCCCCCCTCTCTCTTCCTCTTCCCCCTCTTCCTTTCTCTTCCTCTCTCCCCTCCCCATTTCCCTCTCTCTCCAAGGCAGTGCTGGCCTTAAGTTTTGATCCTCTGATCTCACCCTCCTCTGTAGCTCAAATGACAGAAGCATTCCATGGCACACAGCTGTGGACTGATAAAAGGTCATTAGTCCTGAGTCTTGAACTCTGGGCCTGGGCACTGTCCCTGAGCTTTTATGCTCAAGACTAATACTCTGCTACTTGAGCCACAGCACTATTTATGACTTTTTTGGGTAGTTAATTGGAGATAAGAATCTCATGGACTTTCCAGCCCAGGCTGGCTTTAAACCTCAATCATCAGGTCTCAGCCTCCTGAGTAGCTAGGATTACAGGTGTGAGCTACCAGTGCCCAGCTCTAGAGCTTTGTATAGCTTAGGCTGGCCTGAGACCACAATCTTCCTCTTCTCAAGTAACTAGGATTCTGGTTGTGAGCCATTGGCACCAGCCTTCTTTCTGGGCATGATTATTTTTTAAGCCAGTCTTCTGGGAGAGTGTGAGGGAAGGGGTGACATTGTCTAAAAAGAAACGTACTCTTTACCTAACTTAAGTAACTGTAGTCCCTCTGTACATCATCTTTATAACAACAACATAAAAACATTTTAAGTCACTCTTTTTTAGATGATAGCCAATCACTCTACCATGTCCTTGACCTTTCTGGTTATATTTTGTTTTAAAACAGCATCTCACTGTCTTTGACGTGGGATGGCATCACATTTGTGACCTGAGGACCTCCACTTCAGGAGTACCTGCAATTGCAGGTGCATGCTGCCCTGCTGAAAGATTAAATGCTACACTGTGGCACACAAGAAAAGTAGTTTGTCAGCAGAGGGACTGCAATCTGTGGTGGCTGGTACTCTCTACAGGCAAATATTTCCTGGGGAACATTCACAACTGCAAGGTGCAACCTTCAGACAACAGTCATTATCACCACAGTGATTATTAGCAAATGTCAGGTTTGACACCCAGAGTCGGGCAACGGCATTCCCATGTTTATGTGGAAATCGAGATGAGCCTCTGCTTGACGTCCGGATCTCCTTCTGCTGCTCTTGGCAAAGCGAGCTGGGAACCCTGGCATCCAGCACCCATGTCTGCTTTGCTTTGCTTTCTGTGACAAACCTTTGAGGCCCAAGGATAAATGACATCTAACATTTAGGTATCCGGTCCCTTTATGCCAGATTCTCTGATGATTTCATCAACTGTATCATCTTAACCTCCACCATCCTCTCAAGCTGTTGCTCTATGCAGGTTTAAATGCAAATGAGGAAAACAGTGGAGGCCTCGAGTTTTGCTTTTGTTTTCCTTTCCCGGAGCCAAGAATTTGATGGCAAGCACAGGGTAGGCATTGCCCCTGATGCTGATCCACTAGGATCTGCTTGCTCTGTCTGGCTTCTAAAAAAAAAAAATCACCCCTCTTAAAGAGCATGTAGAAAACTAGAGGGTATCAACTCCCTGAAAAAAAATTCAAGATCAATGGTCAGTTACTGTATAGAATATGACTGAATATTCCACACCAGCAGGATTAAAAAAGAGTTCTTGGAAGCAGAGAGCATATTTTATGTATCCAATTGATTACCATTCACTAAATATCTCTTACTTTGCCAGGAAAGCAGTATGCTAGCAATAGCACAAAATAAGACAGATTGCTGTGAGCTGTAGCCATGTCTACCCCTCCCCCGGCACCCCCACCCCCACCTCTTCCCCTCTGTTCTGCTTTCTTTCTCTATTTTTTTCCTAGCTGCTTTTGGGTTCAATTTTTGCAGGTTTCCATTTCCAAAAGTCGTTGTGATAATCTGGGGTTTTCCATTCTGAAGCATCTTCCAGGAGTTGTCTCTATTCACAAAGGACAGGCTTAATGACACAAACTTAGACTAAAATAAATTACCATCATAAGCAAGCAGAAGCTAGGTAGTAACTTTTTATCCAATCGCTAGTAAGCAAATGCATAGCAACAGACAGGAATGTCTTATGTATGACCTCCGTGAGCGCTGTTAACATCATACTGGGTATTGTCCTTGCACTGACCTTCACAGGATTCTCCACCTGGGGAAAACATCCCGTTGTCGTGGTAGCCGTCTCTGCACTCGCAGTGGTACCATCCAGGCAGGTTTATGCAGTTAGCACGGCTGTCACACTGGACAAAGCCATCCGAGCATTCATCAATGTCTGTTTGACAAAGAAAGCAGAAATGAGATTTGTTTTAATATCTGTCTGTCCATTTTTCTACTCTTTTGTGTGTGCTGGTTCTGGAGCTTGAACTCAGGACCTGGGCATTGTCCCTGGCCTTGTTTGCTCAAGGCTAGCACTCTACTATTTGAACCACAGCCCCACTTGTAGCTTTTTTGGTAATTTATTGGAGATAAGAGTCTCCTGTGCATTCTTACCCAGAGTGGCTTTAAAGCAGGATCTTCAGATCTCAGTCTCGTGAGTAGCTAGGATTATAGTTATGAGGTGCTGGCACCTGGCTCATCATATCATTTTAACAGTATTTCTGAACTATGAATGTATTTTCCTCTATGGTTCCTTTGACTAAGAGGCATCTGCCAGTAATTCCTACTGACAAAATAATTTGCCAAATCAGCGAATCACTGACTCCTGACTCCCAGCTCTGGAGATCGCTTGTATTTCCTGAGGTCTCTTAGGCTCTGCGGAACAGCCTTTGCATATTCTGGGGCATCCCTAACTGACCAATCTCCAGTTATAAGTGAGTTCAGAGCCTTGTTCTCCTTTCATCTTTGTGTGGTCTTCTCTCCCAACCCAAGTGATGCAGAAAATTGATCGTGTCATTTCTTAAATGCGTGCACAAAAGGAAAACAGGTGGAAGGATTGGGTTGGAAGGAGGCCATGAAGGAGTATTTAGAGTCTCTCATTTTAGAAAAAAAATGGTCCTGAGGACAGGTCATTCAGAAGTAACTAAATAGTAAAGAACTCTCTCCTCTGAAGCAAGCATTCACATGTATAATTGGCTGTCAGTTAAGTCTTTTTTCTGCCTTAATTGAAAGGTTACCTTGCATTTCAGCTGTTACTTTTCAGTTTTACTTGCTTGTTTACTTGAGGGTTTTTTTCCTTTTCTTTTTGGTGCCAGTCCTGGGGCTTGAACTCAGAGTCTGGGCACTGTCTTTGAGGTTTTTATTTTAGTCAGTCATTTTTCCTCCTAAAGGCTAGCCCTCTACCACTTGAGCCACAGTTCCACTTCTGGCTTTTTGGTGGTTAACTGGAGATAAGACTATCACAGTCTCTCCTACCCAGACTGGCTTCTAACTTTGATCCTCAGCCTCCTGAGTAGCTAGAATTGCAGGGTAAGCCACTAGTGCCCAGTCTTCATTCATTATTTTAGCATTCAATAATTATTGGATATCTGTTAAATGTAAGTCCATCTGGGTGGCAGAGATTTTTAAAAAGATGCACTTCTGTATTCACTAGATTTATCATCTATTTCAACTGTTCCTTGTTTGGGGAAATCAAATTTATAAAAATTTTAATTTACTATCATATTGAACAATGTTTTCCAACATGGGATACACTTTATTTCACAATTGCTTCTTTTTTTCTCCCAGACCCAAAGTCGACAGTGTGCCTTTCCACACAGTTTACCTAAGGTCTGAGGACAGATGATCTGAGATGATCATAGCTTTGAACAGTTTTAGAGATGATCAATTCGAAAACTGTAACAACTATAAATCTATCCTTCCTCCTCACTTCTACACATCTCTTTCTACTGTACTGTGTAATAAGGTAGAGTGGTGTTTGAAGGTATTTCACACACAGATCCTTGCCTGAATTGACATGTTGGTGGATAGAGGATAATCACTGGAGAATCCTGAAGTACCATCTTGTTTCATTATTCTCCTGTCCTGCTCATTTTAATCTGTTTACACAAACTTTTTTGTTTAGGTTAGAGTAGGTAAAAGAGGAAAGCGTGCTTGAGTTTCCAAAGTTGTACTTCATACCAGAAGACTCTAATTAAAGCCAAAGATCAAATAAATAAGCAGCCCTTTCTATCATCTATTTGATATCATACAGGTATTTAGATACTTGGGAAATATTTAATAAAGGAGTATAGTCTCACCTATGTAATAGTAATGTATCCATGAATAATAAAAATATGAAATTCTTCAAAATATCTATTCCTAAAATGAATAACAGTCGATGTTTAACCCTCTTCCATATAATCTGACCCACACTTTATGGATTGAGTATATTCTTTCTATACATGACTGAAGACATTAGCACAAGTTATAATATATAAATACACACATGTTCACTTCAACTGTGGACACGTTTGCCTTACACATTTTGTCATGAAAGAAAATAGTGAAAGAAAATCAGATAATTTGTTTCTTGAGTTCTTTCTTGAGGTAAGTTAAAACCTGATTTTATAAGATACAATTGAATTAGATACATAGCAAAAAAAGCAAAACTAAGGGACAAAAATATTATTGTTTTATTTCTTGTAAGAACTATCATGTTGGAACAAATTATTATTCAAACTGAATAAAGATATCTAAAAATGTAACTCTAGGTTGCATAAGCTTATAAGACATAGTCCTGCCCAGCAGACTTTAATTTTGTTCTATGCTGTAGATGCAGTAAATAGAAAAGTCAAACTAAGTGTTATACAAAAAAAAAAAACTACAAGCCAAGCGCCGGTGGCTCACACCTGTAATCCTAGCTACTCAGGAGGCTGAGATCTGAGGATTTCGGTTCAAAGCCAATGTGGGCAAGAGAAGCCCATGAAACTCTTATCTCCAATAAACCACCAGAAAACCAGAAGTGGTGCTGTGGCTCAAGTGCTAGAGCGCTGGCCTTGAGCTGAAGAGCTGAGGGACAGTGCCCAGGCCCACAGTTCAAGACCCAACACCAACGGGAAAAAAATTACTATTTCATTATACATTCAGTCTTAGAAAGGAACTTGTTCCTTAACTCCTTAGGAACACTTAAAACTTCCTCAGTATCTACACTTAGAACAATCAGCTAGTAATGATAATAAAATAGTGTCCCAAAGCACAGAGAAAATCTAAAACCTTTTCAGCCACTGTTCATGAGTAACAGTCATACTCTAGGGATCCAAATCAATTATAGATTTGCTAATAGCACAGATTTTGAACTAGTCATTTAAAAAAAGCAAAAAAATAAAAGCCTGAGAAAGATAATTTGATTTTTTTTTTAAGCTGGAAGTAGAGCTGTGACTTAAGTGGTAGAGTGCTAGCCTTGAGACAAAAGCTCAAATATAGTGCCCAGGCCCTGAGTTCAAGCTCAAGGACAAAAATATAACAAAACAGGGGCTGGGAAGGTGGCTAAGTGGTAGAGCGCTTGCCTTGCATGCATGAGGCCCTGGGTTCAATTCCTCAGTGCCACATAAGCAAAAAGAAAAAAGCTGGAAGTGGTGCTGTGGCTCAAGTGGTAGAGCGCTAGCCTTGAGCTGAAGAGCTGAGGGACAGTGCCCAGACCCAGAGTTCAGGCCCCACGACCGGACCCCCCAAAAAATATATAACAAAACAAAAAGCTAATGATTTGTTCTCTTTGGTGGCACAAGGCAGGACTCTCTAAAATGTGATAGATCGCTGTCTTTAGGTGGCTTTTGCCATCAGCATTAAAGAGTCATTTTACTAAAAAACTTAAATGTAGACATAGAACGAGCCACTTGGTTAACAGATGCTCTCTCATAATGTAGTAAGAGTTATTTCTAATCTAACGATACCACTAAGAATAATATAAATGTGCAATTATTTAGATCTTTTCCTAAAATGGACCCCAGTCAGTCTTTAATTCTCTTCCTTATAAAGTATGAGAAAATTGATCGTTAGCTACTCATATTATGTACATTAAAAAAGAAAAGAAATCCAATTCATTTTTAGATAAACACACTATTTTTAGAGGCAAAGCCATTGTTTTTCACACTTTATTTATTGTTAATAAAAATGTGACATCATTTCTCGTGAAGAAAATGAACTTGTTCTATTTATACCACCATGCCATGCACTGCTATTAATATTAAATTATATTGATAAACAGCAGGCAATTAGAGATCCTCAAAACAATTAATCAATGCTTGATTACTCACATGTGGGCTATTTGCTTTCTAGATTATCTCCAGTATTTTTTTTAATCACAAGGTCATTTCCCTCTGTCATTTGTGGTGTTTCTGGGAGTCTATTTTCAACATTTTATGTGGGAATCATCAAGGAACATAAACTTATCTGAGAATCGAATTAGCTTTAAGAGCTTTGCCTGATCTGGATATAAAATCCTGCCTAAAATTTCACTTAAGACTGATTTTCTCATATAAGTTGTTTGAAAATACAATATGACAGCATAATGCTAATAAATGTTAGAAACTGTAAAATCTTCTACTGAAGTTGTGAGATAATGAATGTGGTGAATACTGTTTACATTATAGTTCATAATTAGGAAGTTTAGGACTGTCAGTAGAAGGGTGGGTGAATTAGTGATAATAGTCTAGGTGAAAACGGAGCCAGGTAAATGGAGGGGATAGGTGGGGTTGGGTGAGATAGGAGAGAAGGATGAAAGGTGACACACTGATCAAGATACATTGTACTTGGGCTGGGAAGGTGGCTCAGTGGTAGAGCGCTTGCCTTGCATGCCTGAGGCCCTGGGTTCGATTCCCCAGCACCACATAAGCAAAAAGAAAAAAAATCCGGAAGTGGCGCTGTGGCTCAAGTGGTAGAGCGCTAACCTTGAACTGAAGAGCTAAAGGACAGCGCCCAGGCCCAGAGTTCAGGCCCCAGGACCGGACTCCCCCCCCAAAAAAATACATTGTACTTACAAAGTAACATGTTGGGTTGAAACACCTTTGTACAACTAAAGATAAATGACAGAAAGATTCAAAGATAAATATGCGTGGATACAACTACTTCGTCATGGCTTAGTCATCACCACAATCTCATTAAGTATTTTTATTCTTGGGCTGTAGACAAGGAAATAGTCACAGCAAAGTCCTATAGTAGATCAGGTCTCCAAAGTTCATACCCAGACCCCACATACAAAAATGTCTCAGAGGGGCTGGGAAGGTGGCTCAGTGGTAGAGCGCTTGCCTTGCATGCATGAGGTTCTGGGTTCGATTCCCCAGCACCACATAAGCAAAAAGAAAAAAGCCGGAAGTGGTGCTGTGCTAGCCTTGAGCTGAAGAGCTGAGGGACAGTGTC